GAAATGGCTGCAGTGTCTAGGGAGCTGTCTTTCACTGTGATGAAAAGGATTCTAGGCTCACAGTGTGCAGGTGTCTGAAAGAACATTTTTTTCAGCATTCTTTCATTTATTGGTACATCAATGAAAATAGTACCACAAGCCAATGACATTTATCATTTTTGTTGGCAGTGTCTCTGAGAGCAAGTTGCGAGATTTTCAAGGCTTCACTGAGTCTTCTAATGACATTTAACTTAATCTTGACAAGTATATCCGATGACTGCAATGTGTTAATGATCAAGGAATGTGTCAAATAATGACATGTCTACTGCAGGAAATTATGGGGTGATGCAGACAGCGTTCACTAGATCAGCCATTATCTATGCCTGGCATTATGACAAAAAGTGATTGATTTTGGCATCAAAAGTGAAGCACTCCTCTGGCTCAACTTGTTCTTTGCACACTTTCCTGCATTGTGACAAGCACCTACAGCAAAGATGCTGCCTTCAAAACAAACTGTGGTTTATTGATTAAACAGACCACACTTGGATAGCCTAAAATCTTAAACTTCTGATGGAAAACAATGCATAAAAGTGCTTCAGATTCCCCAGTGGTTAAATGACTCACTGAGGTTATTTTGCCAGAAATACAGGAATCTTTCTCAACATGTCAGTTTGTGAACAGGAGCAGTAATTCTGCACCCCAGGCATGCATTGAATATCACCAAATCTTTTTGCAGCCTCTCCACTGCTTATTAGTCTCGTTACTGCAACTATATAGATTACTTGGTCAGTGAGAGTCTGTTTGTCTTGTCTCTTCCAGAGCTGTTTTACATTGCCCCAAGCAAATGACATCTTCCGGTGGATCTTCCTCATCTGTGAAAATAAAATTACTACCTTCAGAATTATCTTCTTTATTTTAAAACAATGAAAAGTTATGCATTTATATAAAAATGCAAACCGTTGCATTTATGACCACAGTCCACTCAGTTTTCTTGAGACAATTGCTAATATTATTATGAGTAATAATCCTTAATTCCTGGAAAGTGTTTGCACTGCAGGAGCACTTTCTTATTTTTCTTCAGATATTCCCATGAAGAAACTTGGAAACAAATTGAAATCTGTCTGTGGTTGTGGCCAATTAAAATTATAAGAATGTAAAATTATCCCCACTAACTGGTTATTTTACCCAGTGCACTTACAAGTCTGAGCAAAGTTCAAGAAATTAATAGAAAGTATGACCTCCTTTTAAAAAATTTTTACCTTAATTGGTAAAAATTAGTAGAATTGGTATTACTTTTTCCTTAAATGTTTGATAGAATTTTTCACTAAAGCCATTTCGACCTACAGTCTTCTTTGTGGAAAGATTTTAAATTTATAGCTACAGGGTTATTATGGTTATCAACTTCTTTTTGAGTAAGACTAGCTAATTGTGTCATTGGAGGAATTTGTCCATTTCATCTAAGTTGTTAAATCTATTGGCACAATATTGTACACAATTATCATTTATTATCTTTTTTTTACCATGTTTTATCTGTTGTTATGTTACTTCTCTTATACCTGATTTGTTTGTTTTTGTTTTCTCTTTTTTCCTGGTCAGCCTGAACAGTGATTTATTAATACTACAGAATTTCTCAAAGAATGAGAATTTGGTTTCATTAATTTGTGTAAATTTTTTTGCTTGTTTTCTATTGTATTGATTTTTACACTGATCTTTGTTCTGTCTTTCTTCTGCTTCCTTTTAGTTTTATTTTTTCTAGTTTCTTAAGGTGGAAGCTAAGGTCATTGATTTGAGAACATTTTCTTCTCCAATACATACATCCAGCACTACAATTTTTTCTTTAAGTACCACATGAGGGAGATCACACTAATTTTAGTGTTGTGCTTTATTTTGCACTCATCTCAAAATATTTTCTAATTTTTAGTTCTATTTTGACTTTTAAGCTATTTTAAATTGTTTCATGTAATTTCCAAATATGTGAGGAAATTTTGGATATCTTTCTGTTGTTGACTAAGTTAACTGCATTATTGGTAGAAAACATACATTATAACAAAATCATGAATTTTGCAGCAACCTGGATGGAGCTAGAGTCTATAATACTAAGTGGCCTCTCACAGAAACAAAGATCTGAGTATCACATATTCTCACTCATATAGTGGACCTTGATCATCCAATGCACTACTATAAGAAAACGACTGACAATGTTCGGAAACTATGGGGGTGGGGGATGGGACTAATGGTAGTAAACATCTGTCTGGAGATGGGGAGACACCTGTTATCAACAAGGGGGCCTGAATGAAGCATATTGGTATACCTAAACCTTAACTGTACCCCACAATATCAAAATAAAAAATATTGATTAAAAAAAGGAAAAAAAAAAAGAAAACATTGAGAACTGGATCATTTTAAGTTTAGTGAGGCTTGTTTTATTGACCACAATAGTTAAATGTTCCATGTGCATTACCAAAAATGTACATTCTGCTCTTTTGTGGTACATTCTATAAATATCAATTAGATCAAATTAATCATTTCTATCTACGTGTTTCATCTTACTGCAAAATAAGTGTTTCAGTCTCTGACAATAATTGTGGATTTGTCTGTTTTTCCTTACAATTGTATCAGTTTTATCTTGAGATATTATCGAAGCTCTGTTTTTATGTGCATAAACATTTAGCAGTGGGCACCTGCTGGATGAACTGGCCCTTTTGTCATCATGATAATAGCATGTCCATTCAAGTCTCTCTTATAATGTAAGAAGTAATCTTAAGTTTCATGATGCTGTGAGATGAGTCAAAACTGTGAGGTGCAATCTTGCCACCTTTTCAGGCCTGCAGGGGCTTTATGCCTTCATGTGAAACAGCCACCAGCTGTCCTTGCTTCATTCCTAGGTCACCAAGGCCTTTAGTCAAGTCTTTGTGGCAGGTTCAGTTCACAATGAAACTAAAGTTGACAATTTTTACGGAGTGAATGGTGTTCCCTCAAATGTCATTTGTTGAAGTGCCATCCCCCAGTACCTCAGAATAGACCCGTACTTGGAGATAGGGCCTATAAGGAGGTCATTGATGTAAAATGAGCATATATGGGTGGGCCCTAATCCAGTCTGGCTGGTTTTCTTGTAAGATGAGGAGATCTGGATGCAACAGGTGGACCAAGAGACAAGCATGTGAAGACATAGTGAGAGGGTGACTATCTCAGTCAAGGAGCGAGGTCTCAGAAGAAACCAAATGTTCTGACACCTTATCTTGGACTTCCAGCCTTCAGAACTGTGAAAAAGCAAGTCATGCTGTTTAAGCCACCCACTCTGTAGTATTTTGTTATGGCAGCCCTAGTAAACTAAGACAAATACTTCTAGGGACAAAAAAACCTATGGGTTTTGTCATTCTAGTAGGATGATTTTAACACTGGTTACTTACTACCTTGAGATTGTATAAGAAGGCAGGAAGAAGCATTCTATGGAGTGCGTGAATTATGTCCTATGAAGCAGAGTCAGCTAAAAAGGTAAACATCTCTCAGCTGTATATGATGCCGTGTCTCCATCTGGACAGCAAAGGAACAAAAATATACAGGAGGAACAGCCTTCAGAAGAGCAGATTCCTAGGTTTAAGTCTAACAAAGAGGCCCACAACTTGGGGACCATGATGGTGGCAACTGCCTGTGGCCTGGGCATAATCGTAAAGAGGAAAAATTCTGCTAGCCAGGTCCAGATACATTGTTTCCTCTTATCACTGCTCTTTTGTGAAAAATTTTTTCTAAATACATGTTGTTGTCCCAAAATAAATATGTTGCTGAACATTTTTCTGACAGGAATGCTAATAGGAAATTTGTTTTTCTAGCATCTCTGCTGGATGACTTTTTATGGTTGCAAAATTACTCTGAAAATAATTCATCCTCCGAAGACCTCCCTGGACCAGTGTCTTCTGTATTCAATAAAACTGTTGCTAAATTAGCTGCTAAAATGGCTCCTTCATCAATGTTCATGCCTGAATTCTCATCACTGCCAGGGAAAAGTTTCTTCCATGCTCTGGTTATGGTACTTGATTTTACCATTTTCCAAGCACTTGACACTTCATAAATTGCACCCAACACTGTCAGGTTCTTCCAAAACATTTTTGGGTCAATTCCTTCATCCACATATTTCTGGAAAAGTCCTGCTTGGTAGTATCTTTTTACAGTGGCTAGAACTCCCTGGCTCATAGGTTGAAGTAGACTTGTGACATTTGGTGGCCAATATTTCACAATTATTCTGCCATCATCTGAACTCAACAGATCTTCATTTGAATGTGCTGGGGGGAAATCTAAAAGCAGCACTGCTTTTTCTAGAAGTCCCTGGGATTTCAAATGCTTCTGTACCTGTGGCACAAAATATTTTTTAAACCACTGTCTGAAAACAGATTGTTCTATCCATGCACCATTCTGACTGAAATAAGTGACAGGAAGGTTTCAAAGGTCAGTTCCCTTAAATGCACAGGGTTTTTTAGCTTTCCCCACAACACAAAGATTAAGTTGTGTAAACCCATGGCATTTGCACAACACATAATAATGATTCTCTCTCTGCTCAACCTATACCCAGAATTACTTTGCTCAGTTTCAAGAGATAACGTCCTTGATGGTAGACATTTCCAGAACAGGCCAGTTTGATCAGCAGCATAAATTTGCTCTGGTTGTAGATTCTCTCTCTCAACAAATTCCTGAAAGTTATCACAAAATTCATTGGCAGCAGTTTCATCTCCTTTTAATTTTGTTCCTTTACCAGCAGCCTTTGGAATACCATGGCACTGCTTAAATCGAGTTAGCCAGCCAGATGATGCATTAAAATCACCTTCCACCCCCAGAGCATCAAAAAAGAACTTGGCTTGTTTTGCACAAATCGTTCCAGATACTGGAATCCCATTTGTTTTTTGTTGGTTAAACCATTCTATCATAACTCTATCAAGCTCCTCGGATGTCGATGACTTCATTGATTTACGTTTGGATACTCCACTAGTAGGATCTGAACTGTTTGCATAGTTTATAATCCTTTCTTTGTTCTTTTTAATATCACGAACTGTGGATTCATCGATTCCATATACCACAGAAAGTTTTTTGAAAGAGATGCCTTCCTCAAGTTTCTTAATAATGTCAAGCTTGTCCTTAATTGTCAACACTACATGCTTATGTTTTCCCAACATCTTAAGTGTCTAACAATTTTAAACAATTACTAAAGCAAGATACTGGACAACTTAGAACTGATTACAAAGAGACTAGAAAATGAGGCCTTAAGACTCCTCCTGTCACATCTAGTACCTAGGAGGACAGTGCAATGGCCAATTTCCAGAAAAGGTCTATGTGAACTCTCTTGCTGTTTTAAAAGTTACAACGTCCCTATAACAAGGCCTAGCTCCAGTTAACCATGCTACCTTTCCTCCTCCTCATTTAACTTAAGGTCTTTCATGAACTGCAGCCTTACTGAAAGTCAGAAGTTAGATCAATACTGTACTAGCAAGGTCTCTAAAGCAGTGCTACTACACACTCGATTCTTCTCTTTGCAGGTAAGTTTATTTGTTAAAGCCACTAAGACTCGGGTAGAAGTATTTTTGGGAAATGTGCTAGGAAATAAATAGTTGAAGTCAAGAGAGGACTTGCAAACTTGACAAACAGGAAAATCTATTGGGAAAACTCATCCCCTGACTATGTGGTCTTTGTCAAGCAGTGGACTGTAGGAATGCCAACTCTCTAGGTGAGGACTGCAAGTGAGTGCTTATGGAAATCATAGACAAGCAAGAAGAGCCAAGCTGGGCAAAAGTGAGTGGCACAAACAAGTTGAAAGCGGACAGGCAGAAAACTCTGCATTTTAATGCGACTTAAATGGACTTGGAAACTGGAAAGGAAGAAGGTGGACAAGAGGTGATGTCACATTACTAAAGAAAGCATCGGAACACTTCATTGGTGGAAATCAGAACCCAAGGTGGAGGCTATGGGGTGGAAGGCTCAGTGAAGTTCTTGTTGCAGTAATCCTGGTGGAAGGTGATCCTCGACGGGCCAACCGAAGTAATTCCTGTACAGCAGGGACTCGGAGCCTCCGAAATCTCCCGAGGGTAAGGGGTCGGAGGGAAGCCGCGTCAGGAGGGCCTCTCCCCGCCGGGCCAGCTCTGGAGCGTCGGACGTCTTTCCTCCCACGGAGGGAGCCCGGATTCCGCCGTGTGGATGCCGGCGACCAGGGTGTCACCGCCGCGGCCGCTCCACGCAGGGAACAGTCCGCCGGCCCGGGGCAGGGGCATCGCCCTCCTCCCGCCCACACGGCGCTGGGACCGCAGGGAGCAAATGGAGTCTCCCGGGAGAGGCTGCCTGGCGGCGGCGGCGGAGCCGGAAGGCCCAGACGCTGGAGGGACAGTGTCGCCGCCGGCCGGAAGGCCCAGACGTGATTCCTTCGTTTATTTGAGGTATGCTGCTTATCTGAGATCTTTTTATCATCGCGTTTGGCATTTATATTTATAAACTCTCCTCTTAGAACTGTTTTTGCGCACCCCATAAGTTTTGGTATGTTGTGTTTCCATTTTAGTTTGTCTTAAGATATTATATTTTTTTCCCCTTTTGGTTTCTTCCTTGATTGCTCAGGAGTATGTTGATTAATCTCCACATATTTATGAGTTTTCCGATTTCTTTCTGTTAGAAATTCTTAGTTTTATGTCACTGTGGTCAGAAAGGATGCTTGACAAGACTTCAGTCCTCTTAAATTTTTGAGGACTTGTTTTGTGGCCTAACGTATGTCCCTTCTTGGAGAATGTCCTCTGTGTGCTTGAAAATAACGTGTATTTTGCTGGTGTTGAATGGAATGTTCCTTGTCTCTTGTTCCAGTTTTTGA